GAAACCCACATATAAACATCAATTGAATTTCTATACACTTTATTCAGAAAATGAAAGATACATTTCAATTTATAACAGCATCCAAAAAATAGAATACTTAATGAACTTCAATCAAATTTATGTTCACTGAACATTATTGAACATTGATGAAATCAAACTACAAAGAGAAGGAAATATATACAATCATTATGTACTGGAAAATTAATGATATATTGTCCATACCATATAAAGCAACCTACAGAATCAATGTCAAAATATCAATAACATTTTCCTATAAATAGAAAAAAACTTAAAATTCAGATGCAAGTACAAAAGACACACAAATAGTCATCTTCATAAAGATAGGCAGAGATGAAAACATCACAGTACCTGATTTTATTTTTAATGTATTTGGTACAGGGTCTCACTATGCAGCTCACACTCATAGTGATCCCCCTGTTTCAGCTTCCCCAGTGCTGGGATTACAGATGTGTGTCACCATACCCAGTTTTGGTGGCCGGCTCGGCACACCTGAGGCAGGACCAGCATGGCATGTGGTACCAGGGACCGAACGCAGGTCCTAGCACTTGCCAGGCAGGCGCTTAGACCAATGAACTGTCTTCTTGGCCCACAGTACCTGAGATTATTCCCAAGAAATGAGAGAAGAGTACATGAATAGAAACAGAGCAGGGAGCCCATCTAGAAAACAATACTTACCCAATCTGAGAGTTCAGCAAAAACACTGTCTTGGCTACCTTTCTCATCAGTAAGCTACAATACCCAATACTCACAATTTAATGGAAGAAAGGTTTAGTTTAGCTCACAGTTCATAGAGGTTTCAAACCAGAGTCAGCTGATTCCAAGGCAGGGCATTATGGTAGAGGGGCATCACAAAGGAGAAATAGTTCGTGACATGGCAAGCAGCCTTTCCCCTTTACTGCACCCAGGCTACAAGTCTTGTGCGTGTTGCCACCTTTACCCACGGTAAGACTTCTGTCTTCTGTGTCCATTCAGCCACACCCCGAACTAATGCTAAATCCAATCAGTGGACTAACATAGCACTACATATCCTTAGTCCCAGAGTCATACGCCCTAGATCCAGCCAGCTCTGAAAAGCCCCACCTATGGGCACATGAGGCTTTGGGGAGATATCTACAAACAACCCATCACAGGAACCAAGAACACACACTAGAATAAGGACAGTCTTTTTGATGTATGCTGCTGGATAAATGTATATCTATATGACAAAGAAAGAAATTGGATGATTATCTTAGACCACATACAAAAGCCAACTAAAATGGATTAAGTAAGTAACTTAATTCAACATGAACCAGAAACATCTTCAAATAAAAACTTGGAGGTAGAATATCGGAAAGATAACACCAGGATATTGACTATTGACTATATTCCAAAATCACGTGCAATAAAAGCAAAATAAGCATTAGTCCACCAAACTAAACAGCTTCTGTACAGCAATGGAAATAATCAACAAAATTAAAAAGAATCATATACACTGGGAAAAACATTCTCAGAGCACGTATCTGATGGGGGCATAATACCAAAATTGTATAAGGAATTCACAACTCAAATATGGGCACACAAATGTGCATCCCAATTTTAAAAATCAACAAAAGAACTGAAATGACAATTTTTCTAAGGAAGATATGGAAATTGCCAAGAAATATGTATTAGTCTGCTTTTGTTACAAGAATGAAATAGCTGAGGCCAGTGACATTAGGTTTCTGCATTTTTCAGGTCATGGTGTCAGGACCAGCTCAGTTCTGGTAAAAACCTTACAGCAAGATGGCATATGGCTCACAAAGGTAGGTGTATGTGAGAGGGAGAAGTTAAATCATGAGATGGAAAGCCAGGCAGCAGGGACCAAGCCTTTATCATAAGAAACCTTGGGGATTATTCTCAAACCATGTCAAACCACACCAATGTATATGAAAGGGAGCATAACAGCTGTGGTGTGAGGAAAATTTAAGTCAAATATTACTATGAAATATCACCCCATACCTCTGAGCATAACAATTCTTAAAAAATCAAATGATAAGTTTTGGCAAGGTGTGGAAGAAAGGAAAGGAAATTTTCTTTTCTTTCTTTCTTTCTTTCCTTTTTTAGACAGGGTCTCACTATGTGATTCAGGCTGGCCTTGAACTTATTATGTAGATTAGACTGGCCTTGAACCCCAGTGATTCTTGTGCCTCAGCCTTCAGAGTGCTGGGATTATAGGCATGTGCTACCATGCCCAAGCTCTTGAGAACATTTATACTGTTAGTAGGTGTGAAAATCAATTCAGCTATAAGGTAAACCAGTGTGGAGATTTTTAAATATCCTAAAACAAAAGCAAAACAAACAATCAGAGTCACTCTGTGGTTCAATGACAATACTCTATGTATAGCCAAAGGAATATAAATCTGGATCCTGAGGTGAGCTCCTGTGTTCATTGCAGCATTATTTATTATAGCTAAGGTGGAAACAACTTAAATGTCACTCAGTAGATAAATGAAGAAAAACTGAAGGATATTCAGAATCTTATTTACTCAACAAAGGAAAATATCTATCCATTTGTAACAGCAAGAGGCACCTAGAAGAGGGGCCAGTAAGATGGCTCAGTAGAATAAGCACTTCCTTGGCAAGTGCAAGGGTCTGAGTTCAATCCCTGGTTCTGCCCCCCAAAAAAGTGGCACCTAAAAGACACTATGTTAAGTGATACAAGACAGGCACTGAAAGACAAGTACTCATATTCTCACTTAAATGTGGAAACTACAGTCAAATTCATAGAAACATACAGGGAAAGGAAGAGTTCCAGGGATGGAATGATATTGGGAGACATGAGGGAACATGTTCAGAGTATAGAAGATAAATAAGTGTGGAGAACAAATGTATAGCATGGTAATGTCAATACTTCTTACAACTTAAATTCACTAGTAGAATAGACCTGAAATTTTCTAACTGCACACCTAAGTGGCAAAAAAAAGTTTCTGAGCTGATGGATGCATTAAATACATGATGATAGTAATCACTCAAAAGGCACGCCTTGATGTCAAAACATCAAGTTGTAAAGATGTACAGTTTTTACTCATCAAAAATAAAACTAAAATTGCTTAAGGTCAAAGCTATCAGATTATTTTCCTCGGGGTGGCAAAGTGAGAAGAAAACAATTTTCAGAATTATACAGTCTAAGGGCCAGCAAGATAGCTCAGCAGACAAAGCACCTGTTTGGCAAGTGCAGGGACCAGAGTTCGATCCCCAGCACCACATGCCCCATCAGACCCACCCCTGGGCATGCCGAGCTGCTCCCTCCCCACCCCACTGGCTGTAGTGGTGCATGCCTGTAATCCCAGTGCTGGGAAGGCTAAAATAATAATAATAATAATAATAATAATTGTAATTATAATAATTATACAATCTATACTCATTTCTGCTACTTAATGTGTAATTATGTTATTTATTCCTATTCTTCCATTGGGAGATCAGACTTTTTAGTGAATTATCAGGAAAAAAGAGGTAAAATCCACCAAACACTCTCTTAAATCACAATGAACTGTTTAACAAAACAAAGCCATTTCACAGCTGTTTCAACTTCATGTAGTTAAGTAATTATGGCTCAGAGATTTAATTCTTCTTGTTACATTTTAGTTCCATACATTCTAACATTTTGAAAGTCTTTTCCTCCAAAATATCAGATATAAATATTGTGGAAAAATGAGAAAATGAAATAAAAATAATGTAAAATATAAAAGTTTCAAATACAAAGGCTGGGAGCCGGGGAGATGGCTCAGTGGAATAAGCGCTTCCCTGGCAAGCTCAAGCGCCTGAGTTCAATCCCCGGTTCTTCCAAAAAAAAAGACTTTCAAATACAAAGGCTAACACAACACTCCTAAACTGTAAAATAGAGACACTCTGAACAAACAAGTGTAAAACTCATTACAAAATATAAAAATGATTTAAATTAAAAATATATATAAATAAAAAGGTGCAGGTTGCTCATAGATTGTTTTAATCTAAAGATGCCCATTATTTCCAATTTAATATATGTATTTATTGTAATGCTAATTAAAATATTGATGGGGAAGTACTTGAAAAAAATCATTCAAAAATGGACTTAAAAAATACCAATTACCTGGAAATGCAGTGACAGTTTTGAAGAAGAAAAAAAAACTAGAAAACATAGACAACCCATTTTTATTAAGAACATTTCGCATTGCTACAATAACAAACAGAACAATGAAATAAGTTATTCCAGAAGAGTTTCATATGTATAATATTTTTATTTATTACAAATGCTTCATTATAAACTAAGGTTAAGAGGGGAAGACAACCTCTTCTGTGAAAGATGTTGAATGAACTGTATACTTACATGAAAAATGACATTTGGGGGCCGGGGAGATAGCTCAGTAGAATAAGTGCTTGCCTGGCAATCCTGCGTTCAAATGCCTGAGTTCAATCCCTGGTTCAAAAAAAAATGCCACTTTGAGCTCTACCTTAAAAGTACAGCCTAGTAATCAGACATTATACTAAGACAAATTAAGATCATGCAGCCCAGCACGTGGCTGACTTTTTAGACTCATTCAGCTTTGACTAACCACAACAGAGATAATCTGACCCAGCTCAGTGTGACCTCATGCAGCCTATACTGTCCAGTCCCCAAACATACCCTGTTTGCTAACTTGTTTGAAGGATTTTCAGCCCACCAATGAGAGATGACCAATGTTAGCCAACAGAAATTCATCACACTTTCAAGTTCCAGGTAATTTGTATATTTTATTTTAAAAAATTTATTTTAAAGAGAATACAAAAATAGTAAGTAAGGCATTAGAAACAATACACAATTAAAAAAAAAAACCAAGGGTCAGTGAGATAGCTCAGTGGACTAAGAGCCTGCTTAAGCAAGTGCAGGGGCTGGGCACCCTGAACCAGCCACCAAGACTGGGTGTGGTGGCCCATGCCTGTAATCCCAGCGCTGGGGAGACTGACAACAGGAGGATCACTAAGAGTCCAAGCTGCATAATTTTTCTATGTACCAAATACATAAAAAAATTTTTTTTAACCAAGATGAGAGGTATTCAAAAGTGGTTGTTATTTTCACACTGAGGTCTTCAATGCAGTTGCTCAGATTATAGGTCTAAGCATATAAAACTGATCAAAGTAAAAATGTTAAGCATTAACTGCTACCTTCAATAAACTGATAGGAATTAGTAGTACATTCATCTGAGCTATCCTGTGATTTATTTACCCCTTCCTTTTTTTCCTATATTTTTTTCCTTTCCCCCATCCCAATTGTTTATTACTTACATCCAGTTTCTTTCTCTTTTGCTGTATGTATTGTACCTTTCAGATTTTATTTATTCTTTCAGGTTCCTACACTAGGGAGACAATGTGATGTTTACACAGGTGGGTCTGATTTATTTCACTTATGAGTATAGCCTCTAGTTGCATCCATTTGCCTATAAAAGTCTTAAGTTTATTTTTATTTATAGCTGAGTAATACTCCATTGTGTAAAAATACTACATCTTTTCTATCCATTCCTCAGTTAATGGGCATTTGGGTTGTTTCCAACATTTAGCTATGAAAAATTGTGGTTTCATAAACATGGGAGCACATATATCACTGAGGCATGATGTTTTCAGTTATTCTGGAAAAATACCCAGAAAAGGAATAGCTGGGTTTAATAAGACTTCTAATTCTAGTTTTTAGGGTTTGTTTTGTTTTGTTTTTAGTGCTGGGAATTGAACTCAGGACCTTGCACTTACCAGGCAGGCACTTAGGCTACTGAGCTATATCCCAGGCCCAAATTCTAGTTTTTTGAAGAGTCTGCACCCTTATTTCCATAGAGGTCATACAAGTGTATACTCACACCAACAATAGAAAAGGGTTCCCTTTTTCACAAAGCCTCTCCAGCATTCGTTATTAGTTGATTTCTTTATGATAGCCATTCTTTCTGGAGTGAGATGGAATCTCACTGTTGTTTTAATTTGCATTTATTGAATGACCAGTTATGTGGAATATTTTTTCACGTATTTATTGCCATTTGTATTTCTTCCTCTGCAAAGTGTGTACAGTGGTCCCTCACTTATCCTATGGGTTATGCTCCAGATACTTCCGCAGTAAGTGAAAATCAATGAAGTACCAACATCATATTTATTTTAGTATTTATATATATATATATATACTGTTCCATACAGTATGTATGCATCCACTAAAGAAATATGTACTGTAAACAGTGTATATTTACATTTAATATTCTTTTAATATATTAGAAGTAACATTTTTAATATATTTTCATATATTTTAAATTTATAGGCTAAAATCATTAAAGCCGTAAGTACTACACATATAAATAGGTATAGAGTACAGTAGATTCAGCAAAATCCCATGATATAGCAAAAAAAATCCATGATAAATAATTTAGATTAATATTTTTTGAAAACCCATGAAACAGTGAGTCCACAAAAGTCAAACTGTGAAATAGCAAGGGACTATTATATTGATCTCCCATGCCCATTTTTGCATTGGGTCTTTAATTTTTGGGTGCTTGATCTTTTTAAATTCTTTATATATTCTAGATAGAAGACCTTTGTCTGAGTAACTGTTGGTTAAGATTGTTTACAAAATTATGGTTTTTCTTTTCACTCTTGGTGATTTCTTACGATAATCAATATCTTTTCAATAAGATGAGATCCTAGTTATTGATTTTTTGAAGTATTCTCCATGCAGTTTTGTTTTTGTTCATGAACTCTCTGCCTACTCCTATCTCTTCAAGATTTCTACCTACTTTCTCTTCCAATAGATTTAGTGTTTCTGATTTAATGTTTAGATCTTTAATCCATTTTACTTTAGCGTAGTGCATGGTGACAGACCTGGAGCTAGTTTTAGTTTTTCACATGTGGAAAGCCAGTTTTTTCAGCACTATTTGTTAAAGAGGCTATCTTTCTTCCAGTGAACATGTTTGGCCCCTTTGTCAAAGATAAAGAGGCTGAATATGTTTTAGTTGTGTCTACATCTTCTAATCTGTTCCTTTGATCATGAGGTCTATTTTTTTTTTCTTGGCCAGTATCATGCTGATTTCATCACAGTAGCTTTGAGCATGATTTCAAGTCAGGGATTGTAACATCTCCTGCCCTTCCTTTGTTGCCCTGGATTGCTTTTGCTATTCTAGGTCTTTTCTGGTTCCAAGTGAATTTTAAGAATGTTTTCTCTAAATCTGTGAGTTACGCTGATGCATTTTGATAGGGATTACATTAAGTCTGTATAACACTTTTGGACATTGTCAGCAACCAGAATAACTACCGCTACTTTTTTGTGGGTTCTTGCCACAGAGACCTATGCCAATGTCCAGCAATCGGCTGTTTTCTTCCTCTAGTCATGATTAATCAAGGCTCCTCTGTGGAGATGACAGAGATAACAGTCTCGACCCAGGAGCAGGCAGCTCTGGGGCCCTGTACTCCTACTGGACCACTGGTAAGCTGAGTCTGTGCTCCGTGACCTCCACCTCAGAGTGAAGTCTCACCTTTAGTGGCTGCCTTGGCAGTCAGGGCATGGCTTAGGGGGGCCTTATAAGGCAATCTCTTAAGGTGACCTGGCTTTTATAACAGTAGCAGATGAACCTAGTCATTGAGTTCTTGTTGGAGCCCAGAGAATCAGACTTAGGGTCTAATTGAGGCCACAACAAAGGCAGCCATTTTCTTTATCTCTTTGTTTTTTCCCAGTCCTAATTAAAGGACACTAAGGAAGCAGTTTTTACTAAAGTAGAAAAGTGGACTATGCTGCCTGAGATGATTCAGATTGGTGCAGATATCAGCCCCTTACTTGTACAGGGGGCTGCCTTAGCAGCAGCTATTGCTCAGATTATTCATCTACAGGCTGGAGGAAGAGAAAAAATAAAGGCTGTTTATTTCCATTGTGGGGATGAGGGACATTTAGCCTGAAATTGCTCTACTGTCCTGGTAAAAGCAGCACAGCTACTATCTCTCTCTCCAACAAGACCTTTCAGTCTTTATACAGTGTTGATAAAGGTACCATTGGAAAAATGAATGTAGATCTGAAACTGATGTGGAAGGCTGACTCATTCTTCCATTCAGACCCACCCTGGCCCCATCAAACAATGGGAGTGCCTTCCTCAAATCTACACATACACACACACACACACACACACACACACACACGTGTCTCTGACCTCTGGGGATCAACAACAGACAGTAGAGGGTTGGACCTCAATTCCTCCTCCAAATTCCTATTAACTCCTGAAATGGGGTCATAGCAGTCTCGTCTTAAAAGGCCTCAGGGCTGGGGAGATAGCTCAGCAGCATAAGCACCTGCCTGACAAGCACAAGGTCGTGAGTTCAATCCTCAGTACTGTATGCTGTGCTGGCCCCGGAACCCCAGGTTCAACATGCTGGCCCCAGAACCAGGTGTGGTGGCACATGCTTGTAATCCTATCACTAGAGAGGCTGAGACAGGAGGATTGCTGTGAGTCCAAGCTGCATAGTGAGACCCTGTATCAAAAAAATAAAACTAAAATGTCTCCATCCCTGCCCCTAGGGTGTGCTGAGATGGCAACTGAGACTAGGCATGGTGGTGTGTGCCTGTAATCCTACCACTTGGGAGGCTGTAAACAGGAGGATCACTGCAAGTCAAATCTACGTAGTGAGACCCTAAACACCCTGTAGACCCTGCCCTAAATACAGAAAATAAATAAATATATAAATATATAAATAAAAGGTCTCCAGGTTTTTTTCTGGTATAATTGATGCTGATTATACAGGACAAACCAAGGTTATCATTCAACCTACCCAAACAATTTTTCAAATCACCCCAGACACTCATTTTTCTCAATTGGTTATTTTCCCTTGGCAAAAACTGAAAAATTTATAAATAAGGGAAAGCAATCCAAGGGTTTTGGATCTTCTGACACCTATTGCATTCAACAGATTAAACAAAATCACACAGAGATGGAATTGACTATTAAAGGAAAATTATTTAAAGGGCTATTAGAGACAGGTGCAGATGTTTCAGTTATTGTTCAGCACCATTGGCCTGAGCATGACTTCTGGATGTGGCCACTACAGATTTAAAGGAGATGGGCAAGGTTTCTTACCCTAGCAGAAGTGCTAAGTTGCCAACCTGGAAGGATGACAAAGGCCATTCTGGATATTTCTCTCCTTACATCCTCCTTGACATACCACTCAATCTATGGGGTCATGACATATTTCATGGTATGGGAGCATTTTTGGCCAAACCTAACTTCCTGGTGACTCATCAGATGTTGCAACAAGGTTTCCTTGCCACTCAAGGGCGTGGTAAGAATAATCAAGGGAGAAAGAACCTGTTCCAATTATTCCAAAAAAGGACTATTTTGGCACAGGCTATTTATTCTCACATTTTCAGGAGGGTCCTTGATCTCTGCTTCTCTGACCCCATGGATGTTATCCAAGATAACTTGGATGTCTGATGACCTTGTTTGGTTGAGTAGCCCCTCACTCAGCAGATTACAGCAGCTCATACACTGGTTAATGAATAGAAGATAGTGGAGCACCTAGAATACTACAACACCCCTTTGAATACCCTTATAATAAAATGTCAGGAAGATGAAGATTGCTAAAGGACTTGTGGGTAGTCAATCGTACCATGGAACCTATGGGAGCACTGCAACAGGGATTGCCCAGTCCTGTAGCTATTCCTTTACATTTTATCCTTATGATGATAAACAAAAATAAAAAGGATGAGGGAAACATGAAAGCTTATTGAAAGGAAGAGTTAATGTTTGTTTGATCAGTCTTGCATGCCTATATCTGATAATCTGAACAACAGATCTGATGATAGCAATATGTAATATAACAATCATTGTTAATTTTCTATTCTTGTTTTGGAATTATATACCTTTTTATTATTTGTTGTTGCCTTGTTTTTGTGATTATTGTTGTTATTCGTTTTTGGTTTTTTCTCTTTAAAATAAAATTTTTTAAAAGACTTTCTTTTTTATCCCTCCCCACCGTCAAGAT